TTGACGAGAGATTCTTTGAAACCATCAAAAATTCAGGAAAAGACTCCAAGCATGAGGTAGCCGTTTTATCGCAGTGTCCAGCTGAATACTAAATTGTATGGCAAACTATAATCAACTTGTCACTCGATGTGCTACTATTCAAAAAACAAATGAAAAGTAAACAAGGAGTTGGAAGAAAGTTAGGGAGGTTGAATTCATTATATGTTCATAACAATTTTTCGAAGACTATCGTTTCAAATAAATTCGGGATAGCGCAATGGCCAATGAAGCGGCGTATTTAGAAGGGAAGTGATGAGCAAGGCGCTAGTTTGCCCCATCCTCCAGCACTTTTTCACTCAATCAAAGAACGCCTTGAGGAATGCCTAGCTTGGCTACTGCAAAGAGAATCGTCTCGACTAGCATTCTAATGCAATCGAAGAGAACGAAATCTTCAACCAGCAGTCAAAGAAAACACATCAAATGCTCAATGATCTTTGTGGAGACCCCAAGAAACCGAGCATACGAGTCGATTGAAAGAAGTGCTGAGATCCGCGTGCGAACTGTGATAGTGCATCATGCATAATGAACAGTATTGTTCCAAGCACATATTTTTGCCTTGTGAAGAATAAAGCAACTGGAACATACCTGTGCTGTTATACAAAAACACATTCTTGTCAGCTTTCATGGTAAGCCATTGCAAAGAAGTGCCATTTCGGAATGAGATCGATGTAGAAAATTCGGTCTGGGTTTGCAAGTTCATTGAAAGCAATAGTGGTTTTCCTAACCCAATCGGAAATAACTCCAGACACCTAAATAGGACTTTCCAAAAGCACGTGCGAGTTAATTTAGACAAAGGTTTCGATCAGCACAGTAGACAATGACCAGTAGGTTATCATTGATCAGTAGTCATTAGGATTTTTTGTGGTAAAGATGGCATGCAATATAAAAGCTTTCGAATGAATCACTGGAGACTCACAAGGACTCTCCACTCTCGGAAGGTTGCGCGAGATTGGCTTATGTCTTTCGGAATCTAAGGCTGACGTTTCAGCGACTTCAACTTACTCAGAGCCGTTTAAACTGTGCTATCGGAAAAGTCACCGGTACGTTGTCATACACTATAAAAAATCTCTTCCGATCTTCTTCTTCTTCAAAAAAGATTCTCGATAGTGTACGACAAAATACTGGTGACCTTTCCCCACTGAAGTGACTAAACGGCCCTGAGAGATGTGAAGTCGCCGAAACGTCAATCATCGATTTTGAGAGAATATATCCTTCGCGCAAGTTTTCAGAAAAGAACAGTTTGCGAGGGCTTTCACTTTTCATAACAACGTTTACTAAAAAACCGGTTCTTTGACCTTTTAGAGACCACTCCGATATAGCAATCACCTAATGATGGTTGCAGTTTCCGCACTGCACTTTTACTGATCACTGCACCATAGTCTCCAATAATCCTTTGCTAATCTTCACGTAATCAGAAGGTTGCAACGAGTGACGAATTCAGAATTTTGCAGTACAGTCAGAGGCTAATTACTAACAGAGTTAGCACAAAATTTGAAAATGCCTAACAGATTTCGATAATCAGTCAAGCACAAATCTACGTTAACGCAAAGACGTCCGATTTCTGTAATTGCATTGTTGATGGAAAAAGTGATGGCATCGAACCGAACCAAACTGGTAGAGCTCATCATATCTTTGGTGAAAAACGAGAAATTTCCTAGGTTAAATGCATCAGCGCAGGCTCAGTCCGAAGCAGTTCTGTGGGCATGGGAGCCCTTCGCCACATGGTGGTGATATGCTCCACTGACTTTCTCAGGTAAGAACCCCTTCATGAGACTCACCACTAATATGACACATAATCCTCGTCGAAATACAAGAAAAACGTCAAAGCTTTTCATATACTTGGAGTAAGTAACCCGAGCCCCCCATTGAACAGCCACGGGTCAGCGAAACATACATAGGACGAGTAAGGCGTCCATTCAAATTAATGAATGACGATATTGAACATGATATCGATGACGAGTGATGGGGCTTCGATGTTTTGAAATCGTAGATGGAACCATTCTGCCTATGCTTCACAATGGGAAGTTCCCTCATCAAAGATTAACAAATAATCCATGGTCTTTTGAGGGTCCATATAAAGTCACTGTCGCCTTATCTCTACTTTTGCGCAACCATACGATGCTTGTGAGACCTCAAAGATAGACTAATGTACTGAAACACTCTCATAAATCATAGAGGATAAAGTTCTCGGCCTTGATCAATCCCTGCAGAAAGCGCCTTGCCTTCAAGTTTTAATTTCGCATGAAGTGACTGAATGCATATCTGGCCCTTAAAATGACTCGTAATGGGCTGTCAATCCATCAATTCGGTGTTGCTATTCTCCCATTCAAGTCGGACCTCTGAAAGACGAAAGGTCTGATAAGTCCACGAAACGGGTATGGAAGAAAGATGTGTCGTAGAGTACTCCGAACCACTACGTCACATGTACTCGTTGTTTCACAACAGAACCTTTTGATATACCACTTGCTTGTATTTGCTCTGAAATGGAATTGTCTCGGAAACGAACTCGCTTGCTACTCATGCAGGAATGGCACTTGGGGGGAAATTGCTAATGAAGCGGCACGTAAGATTAATGGAGCTTGGAGCGATGATACGGTTGCAGAAAGAACGGCTAGAAAGTGGTTCGCGAAGTTCAAAGCTGGAGAGAAAAGTCTGAAGGACCAGTCATGCTCAAGCCGTCCACAGGAAGCTCCATCAATCTTGCCTGCCGCTTCAATAACATTCTCTCCTACGCGCCGTTCATGCTTGAGTAGCAAGCGAATTTGTTCCCAAGACAGTTCCATCTTAGAGCAAGTTTAGTCAAGTTGTATAGCAAATTGTTCACAAGAAAAATGCGCAATTCAACGACACAAGAATCATGCAGTTCTAATCATCTGTGCCTATCAAATTTGGTGCTTTCCTGCAGTTGCAAAACTCATGGAACAACTTGATATCTTGACCCAGTAATAAGCATATTTCACGGCCCGAGCGCAACTGGTCCTCCAGACTGTTCTCTCCAAGCCTTCAACTTCGCGAACCAGTTCCCAGCCGTCCTTCGTGAAACCGCATCATCGCTTCAAGCTCCGTCAATCTCACGTGCCGCTTCACTAGCATTTCCCCTGCGAGTCATTCGTGCATGAGTAGCAAGCGAATTTGTTCCCAAGACAGCTCCATCTAAGGGCAAGTTTAGACAAGTTGTATAGCAAATTGTTCACAAGAAAAATGCGCAATTCAACGACACAAGAATCATGCAGTTCTAATCATCTGTGCCTAACAAATTTGGTGCTTGTTCCTGCAGTTGCAAAACTCATGGAACAACTTGATATCTTGACCCAGTAATAAGCATATTTCACGGCCCGAGCGCGACTGGTCCTCCAGACTGTTCTCTCCAAGCCTTGAACTTCGCGAATCAGTTCCCAGCCGTCCTTCGTGAAACCGCATCATCGCTTCAAGCTCCGTCAATCTCACGTGCCGCTTCACTAGCATTTTCCCCTACGAGTCATTCGTGCATGAGTAGCAAGCGAATATGTACCCAAGACAGCTCCATCTTAGAGCAAGTATAGTCAAGTTGTACAGCAAATTGTTCAAAAGAAAATGCGCAATTGAACTCTTCCAAGATTATGCGATTAGCTAGTAATGGTTGAGAAATTTGATGTTTAGTGTCGATAAACTTCTCGAATGACCTGATTGAAGAAAAATGAAAACCTTGTAGGTATCCACAAGATGAATGCTGCCCAAATCCACCGTCTCAGTCGTATTCTTTTCACCACATATACTTCCATAGCTGAACGTGGCAACACCAAAGACTATAGCTAATTGGAATGTGATCATACCTGAACACTGAATGTTATTTTACAAGTTATAAAAAGCATGTGAAAGATGACGACCTATCCAGGATCTCGAACCGGCAGTACAATAAGAAGGAAATACGATAAACTGCCTAGCACCTGAAGAATCAAGTCTTATAGTACAGAAAGAGATAAGGAGAACGAAAGAGAGAGAGAGAGAGAGAGAGAGAGAGAGAGAGGAATGAAGTCAAAGGATAAGGGAGAGAGAGCGTGAAGTCACAGGGCATACAGAGAGAGAGAAAGGACAAAATCCTAGACTACAGAGAGAGAAAGAGAGAGAGAGGGGGAGAGAGAGGGAGGAAGAGAAGACGAAGACGTAGGGCACGAAAGACTTAGGGTGTAGTCTTACAACACAGAGGGAAGTGAAGCCCTAGGGTATCGAGGGACACAGAGAGAATGCACTCCAAGATTACAGGGGAAGAGCGAGAAAAAAAAGAGAGAGAGGGAGAGAGAGAGAGAGAGAGAGGCCTCAGAGCATGAAGTAAGAGAGAAGAGAGAACGAAGTCTCCGAGTGCTGAGAGAAAGGGCAGAAAGATTCATGTCCCACATAAACTTCGATAAATTCGAGTAGATCAAAGCAGAGATCGATGAGACAACGATGGAGAGGGTCATCCGACTAGGGCAGAGTTCCATCCAGTAGCCCGGACAAATGCAATTTGAAATGAATCACCCAGTCGGCCGGCCGGCCCGCCAGGGCATTCGCGTTGGGATTCCACGATTCCACTGGTCCTGCTCGACTGTGTAATCACCAATTCAAACGTGTTTATCGATCGAGAAATATCGATCAATCCAATTCAACATATTTATCGATCGAGTTTTGTTCAAGTGAAACTCGAAAAAGATGAAGGGTAGGGACACGGCCAACTCTCAGCTTCTGCTGATGACGTCACACCGCGTCCGCCGAGGGCCATCCACTGCTGAATTAGCCGGGACTCGAAGAAAACCGAAGAATCCCGAAAATAAAGATAAAAACCCCAGTAGCCCTGATATATAAGAGAATTGAGTGGTAGCCGAAAATTCTACCTCGGGCGGGAATCGAACCCGCGTTTCACCAACCCGACCAAACCTGTTAAGGAGATGGTGGCTGATAGCCATGATAGAGAGATCTTGAGGAATGAGTGATGAGTAAGTGGTCGCCCCAGTAGTGGTGAAGTGGTAGCACGCGCTACTCGGTATAGGCGGAACGCGGGTTCAACTCCCGGCTGGAGTCGAGTTTTTGCTTACCACTCAGCTCTTTTCGGTACACTTGAAACATCATGAACACTGCGAAAAAACAGTTGAAACAATAGAAATCCTGAGCCCTCACACGGCTGGAAAAAGGCTTGGAAAACGACCCTCGGTCAGTCAAGCCAACGAAGCAAATGGCCCTTGACGTTTGTTGTTGTGTTTCGACCGTAAGTGCACATGACGTTGATTATATGACGTCATTGAGTCATCTGTGCAAGGCTTTCCAGTCGGCTCTTTTGCCGTCAATAGTATCGCGGGCCCTCGTTTTATTTTATTTTTTAGTTTTTCTATTAATATCGTGGTGTCGCAGTGGTTAAATAGCCAGTGGTTCGCGGTATAAGCCGACAAGCAGCGCACTGGTTCGAATTCTTCTCCTAACACTCTCTTGAATTCTATCGATTGGGTATCGCTCTAACTCGGCCACCTCGAGCAAAGCAAGTAGTATCCTATGCTGGGGCATATTATCCGAATCTGAGCCTGATTAGCCGCCCGACTTCCGCGGACCCACGGCTTCGCCTCTCTGCCCCGATTGGTTGCCGACCACAGTATCGCTTTTCGTTGCAAGACCGATTGCGCATTAGTGCAAAGTTTATCTGTAGATCTTGCAACGAAGAATGGTACTATGGTCGGCGACTAATCGAGGCAGAGAAGGTGGGGTTGTTTTCACACTGGCGAACACGCCCAGCGTGGGTCCGCGGAAGTCAGCCGGCTAAGCCGATCTGATACTGATCTTGAAATCTATTGTTTGTTGTCATCGTTTGATCTCTGTGCTTCAGAAGATGTCAATGGAACGACTATATCAAGAGACGTCGAGTTTATTACAAGAGGCGCATTTTTCAATGGGTCGACTCGAACGAGCCACGAGCAAGCGAGAGGCCGACGACATCGTGCAACACATCAGGGAACAACTTCGGTGAGATCAATCCATCCTCCTTCATGCCTCTTGCTTCTTTCAATCAGTAATAGCCTTGATCTACAAATATCTGTACTTTGAAGGGATGTTTTAAGCCTTTCAAGAGGTCTACCATGGCACCTCAAGTGGCGAACCCACGTTTGACCTCTTGAGACCTCTCGAAAGGCTCAGCTCATTCGGGACCGTGGAGCCATCTCCTTTGCATCTCTGACCCTCCCCCCCCCCCCCCTCCTTCAGCTTGGAAACGCATTAGATGTGTCATCGTATTATTCTAATTATTGTATTATATATGATTGTACTTATCTTCTTATGTTGTTGAATGTAAAAGTACTATTCATTGTAAGTAAACAATGAAAAGTCGACCTTATTCGCTGGACAGAAACTTTTCGAAGGAGTGTTAGTAACCATTCGGAAGCTGAAGATTGACGCTACAGCCTCACGTCGCCGATTTTCGAAAAAGCCTCTTTTGAACGTTGCTACAGAAGGAGATTTCTTGCGTTGCAGACGTGCATATTTCTCGCCGGACAGAGCTCTTTTTTTTTACCATTCGTAATCATTCGATAGCATAATAGTTTCTGATTCCAACGCTCTGCTTATATTCTGAAGAGACCGTTTCTCCGAAACGCAGCAGGTGAAATAAGTTGAATTTCCATCTGCGATCGAGGAGGTCTTTGACCGATTCACGTGCCTGTGCGTGAGGCGGCCACGTGAACTGATACCACGACACTTCTCTACGCGTTTGCCCGAAAAATCGGTAATCATGGCGTCATCGAACGTGGCTGGCTCAGCCAGCCGCACGAAAATCGGCCTAAGGCCCCCTTCATCGCAGATGGAAATTCAACTCATTTTACCTGCTGCGTTTCTGAGAAACGGCCTTTTCAGGATGTAAGCACAGAATTGGAATCAGAAACGATTACGCTATTGAATAATTACCAATTGTTCAAAGAAAGAGCTCTGTCCGGCGAGAAATATGCACGTCTGCAACGCAAGAAATCTCGTTCTGCAGCAACGTCAGAAGAAGTTTTCTCGAAAGCCGGCGAAGTGACGCTGTAGCCTTGACGTCCCAGCTTTCGAATGGTTACTAACACTCCTACGAAAAGTTTCTGTCCACCGAATGAGGTCGGTTTTTCATTTTTCCCCTTGCAACTGAAAAGAACCATGTAAAGATAGACGTCTGTATATGTAGACAGACAGTGATTACCACGTAGAGGTAAGCGATGCAGAAGAGGTGGAGCAGACCGTGCAGCGTACCCATGATAGGTGTTAGAGATACACGAGGTGGGTTCACGGTCCCGAAAGTGTTAAAACATTTTATCATTCAAGGTGAATTTTCGAGCGACTTCTTGAAACAGTCGATTGTAAGGTATTCGTACATCATATTTCTAGGATTATTGATCAAAATTGGGACCAGCTGGGAATTCTGGTCAATAAAGAGTCTGCCACACGGCGGCATATCGTAAGGTTTTCCTCTACGGCTTTTCGTCGTTTTCTACTTCTGTTTCTTTTCAGTATACTAACGCTTGTATTCTATGAATTCCTTATTTTTGCTGCTTTTTAGCAGGGCCATGATGTTATAATTACACATCTAGGAATACTTGGGGGTATATAAGAATTCCATCCAGCCGAGAATTGAACCCGCGTGTCACTCATGCTGGAAGCGCCTACTATCACTACATCGCCGAGGCCACCACTCTGCTACCACTCTTCCCCCGATATTAGAATAGCTTTTGGCTATACAGAGTTCAATGCCAATATGTACTTATCAGACCAAACCCGAAAAACGTTGGTTGCCAGCAGCCGCGAAAGGTCATATCGGAATAAGAGTTGTACCAAGGCGGTGGCCTTGGTGGTGTAGTGCAGGCAGGCGCCCCTGGTATGGGTCAAACGCGGGATCAACTTCTGCTTGGGATCAAATGTTTTGCATACTACTTAATATTCCTTTTTGAATCTATGTAGTGCTATAAATCATCAAGTGACTCATGAGGTCACCGACGAAGCTTCCTTGAAGCCATGTCGCGTTGACAACTCTGAGCTATCAGAGAGGGATTTCTCCCTTTTTCCAGGCGACACTAAAGGATTAGACATGTAGTGTAAGACCACAGGGAGTTTCCTCACTGACTATCGTCAAGCTTTGACACTGTGGATATATCTACGAAAGGATTGCATGCGAATTCTTGACGACATGTAGACTGTGATCTCTTGTAGATGACTCTAAACTCTCATCATCCTCTTCAATCCTCTTCCTCCCCCTCCGCCTACTTCCATGTACATCATTGTCCTTTCTTTGAATGTCCCCGCTTTGCATCCTATACTATAGATATTATAATGCGCTTCCTTTTTTCATCCTTCTCTTGGGTCTGAAATGTGTTCATTAAGGTTAGACTGAAGGTTGACCAGTTGAAAACCGACAGCCAAAACATCCACTATGCTATCACATCTATCTATACTAATCTCACGGCAAAATGGAAGGCGGCTAGTGACCGAGAGGAGTTACTCCATCAAAGGTACACTACTTGTTACTGATTGCAATCGATATTGAGTTACCAATGATAACTCGTTCGCAACATAGATTCCGAACTAATGAATCAACTCGACTGTCGATGGATGATCATGAACTGCAGATGAATGATCGGCTCAATTCCTCTAATCGACACGTCAGTCTATGAAAATACATTTTACTTCCTATTAATAGGTCGTTCCATAAGTTTTGGCACCAAAGCAAGAAACAGCATGTTGACCAGACGTAATTAAGATTGCATGATTTTGGTTGATCAATTGCGCATTCTCTTCCGAATATTTTGATATGCAACTCTCCTACATTTGCTTCAAGATGGGGCTGTCGTGGGAACAAATTCGCTTGATACTCATGCGAGAATGGCACGTAGCTAGTGAAGCGGCACGCTAGTTTAATGGATCTTGGGAATGTTACGGTTGAAGAGAGAGCACATGGGAAGTGGTTTACGAGGTTTAAGGCTGAGAGAATAGTCTGGAGGATCATACTTATTATCTGAGCTAACATGCCATGTGGTCTGTTAATGGGCTCTTGTACAGCGCGATACACGTATTTCGACCTTACAGTCTCGTCAGTCGGGCAGAACCCTTCGTCTTTAGCCAGTCCTCTCGGGAGTGCTTACTCTCCTTATGAAGAGGTAAGTGACGACGTACATTTTACACTGTCTGTCAAGTTAAATTGTCCCCGAGTAGACAGTGTTGTGCATTCGATTGCTCTTGGCTGGTATCTTGTAATATTATACCCATATTTCGAGTGTTTCATTAAGATCACGCTCAAATTTCAGGACATCTCATAATTATTATCTGAGCCAAGTGTGGAGGATCAATCGCGCTCGCTCTGTCCTCAGGAAGCTTCAATAGTTGTGCGCGCCGCTTCACTAGCATTTTCCTCTACGCGCCATTTTTGCTTATTAGTAAGAAATTTTGTCTCACGACAGCTCCGTCTCAAAACAAGGATAGGCAATGTGCATATAAAAATGTTCGCAAGAAAATGCACAACTGAGCGATGGAAAAGTCATGCAGTTTTACTACTTCTGGTTACAAATTTGGTGTTTATTACTGAAGTGTCAAAACTTGTGGCACGACTTAATATTATCAAAGTTTTCAATCTACAAAGTGTGAGTGAGATGAACAAAGGACAAGGTATGAGTGAGTTGAACTAATACTATAGTGCGCTCGTGCCGAGCCACAAATTTTTTGAGTTTAGCACAATGTCATAGTTAAATTGGCTGTTTAGGTTGATGACTTGATCAGTCAGGGAGTCGCAGTTCTGGAAAATCTTCGCTCACAACATATGAATTTACGTGGAATAAGAAGGAAAATCCTCGATATTGGAGGAGCTGTGAGTTTTTGCTTTGTATTAGCTTCACAGAGCGCGTATGACGGAGTGGTTAGCAGTGCTCTGCGACACATTTAATCGATCAATCGATGGCCGATAGTACGATCCCGCTCTCAAGGCCCACCAAGCCTTCCATCTCTTAAGGGTCGGCGCATCGATACCAGATTTGTCTGGAAGGGTAGCATCACTGACGGATACATCGATAGGACATCGCGAGTCATT